TCGTGTATAAAAGGCAAGACAAAGATAGCTTCGTCTTCCTCCATAGCCTCGTTACCGCTGTTATTGAGCCATACGGTTTATTGACTCTTCTTACGCCTAAATTAGACAGTGATGAACATATATTTTGAACAACATTCGATGTACACATTACATGTGGATCCTTCATAGTTTTTTAAAATAGGCTGAAATACTTACAGTTAGTCAACAACTGCAAAACTGAGCAAATGATTTGATCAGGCGCAGTGGAAATTTCACCCCCTGTTTGTGGAAGTTGGGAATTTTAGCAATGACGACGGCGACGCCGAAGACGACGCCTTATAAAAAAATGTATTTATATTTTACCTTCGAATGTCGCAACTGTGTAAATCTGTTTAGTACGCCTATCGGTCAATTCCAAAAGAAAATACGAAAAATTAGTCATTGCGGTTCGCGTTCTCTAAAAAACGTAGTATTTGGTCATTTCACGTTGTTGTTTTGCAGAGGACGGCAAAGAAATGTACCAAGATTTAAAACGCACGCGCACAGCCATTGTTCCGCTCATTAAACCTTTTGTTTGGTGGCGCTCTTGTTGCTGTCGCCAGTGTGGCTTGCTAAAGCTCCCTGATTTCATCTAATGTTGGCCAATACTTAAGAAATGGCAAGCGTGCAGCGTGCAACTATCGAGTTATGGGTGCACGCGGGAGGTTGCTAAGCACGAAAGAAGCGTAAGAGTCGCACGAGGCGATAGCCTCGTGCGACTCCAGCATCTTGAGACTTTTGAGCTAGTATATATGGCATCTCGTCCGGCTTACATGAAGTCAAAAGCGCGATAAACCGCGCGAAAATGTTCGTTCAAAAATGTGACAAAGCGACACATCAAAACTTTTCTTGAATCGCGGTGATCGGTGATTTTCTCGGGCAAACAAACAATTTCAAACTGCTCAGTTAACCTAAATATCAAGCTGACAACAAACGAAAATTGCGTTTCTTAAGCTTAAATTTGGATCAGTTTTCCGAAGAATTGAAAACAAACTGCACACGGTTGAAGCTTTTGGTGATTGACCTCTCTGTCCTTCACGGCCTCTTCGGCAAAAGAAAAGAACAATTAATATGGAACCAGACATTTCTCAAAAGCAAGAGTGGAGAAGAAAGCGAACAAACATCCCTGGCTTTGAGCTGTTTGAGATGCTCTTCTTCAATAGCAGGTTTGTGGGTTACGCTTTCCTTTTCACTTCGTTTAAAATTTGATGAGTCGCGCATCTAAGGCTGAACTTGAACACATGAATGGCTTTTAAAAATGATTTCTGTCACTTTCGTTACTTGGTAAAATAAGCCTAACGGAACAGAAGACTGAGGCCTCAAGGAAAATGTCAGAAATGAAAGCTTATATTTGTGCACGATGCAGACTTTCCTTGGAGCGGCTGTTTCTTCGAGAGTTCAATTCACGATCGAACGACGAGCGCTCGAGCAAAACTAAAACCCGGGAACTGAAATAATTCATCAGAGGCTACTAATATTTGATAAAAATTCCTTTATTACAGCTCAGAAAAACTATTACCTTTAACGTTTTTGGAACAGAAGGATTTCGTATGTAGGACTTGTTAAAGCTTTCATCTTTTGTTCGCCGAAAGCATTTTAATGGCTTTCGATGCCAGATCTTTAAAAGTTTTACAATGACAGCTTGTCCTGAATTTTATTGCCGTCAAATCGCTGGAAAATTCTCTCTAAAATTCCCGCTAT